CCATCCTCCCACTTCCCTACTGTATTAAGCACTTAAGTTAAATACAGGAATTATTTTATATTATTACTAAAATAAAAACTTTTTTAAAAAAATGAATTTATTTATAGATCTATTTATTTTTTCTTAAATAAAAAAAATGAATAGATTTACATCTATAGTTTACGTCATTTATAATATTCTTCAACGAAGTGAATAACACTTTTTTTTTATAATAAGAAACCAAGCGAATGGGTTAGTATTAGAGAGTTTCTTATTTTAAGTATACTTTTTTCTAAATATAGTACTAAAGGTTTCTTAAAATTTTCTTGAATGTCAGATTATTAAAAGATTGAAAAAGTTAATCAAATCATTTTATATATCCGTTGTGATATTGATGTGATGTTTCCTGTAGATAATGCTAACTTTGTGTAATAATGTGGTAAAAAATAAGGAAATATTCTTCGAACTCTTAAATAAGTTTCTTATTGAAAAGTTACTAAGTACGAAAAGTTTCTTAAGATTTTGGGACTGCTAGTATTAGTTACTTCTAAACTGGTTGCTTAGTAAAAAAAAAACGTGTATATCATTTTGGGAGGTCAAAATTGTAATTTTAGTTGTTTAAGACATTAATTTACTGTTGACCTGTCATTATTTTTATATAAATGAGTGCAAGAGCAGAGAAAAGCTCTCCTTAAACAATTATAGCAAGCCATGCAAGCTGCTCCTCTAAATTGCTTTTTACAAGAGCTTTTGATTTTTGCACAAGTTATCTGTTTATTTATATAAAAATTGCTTATTAATACAAAACTTGGTCATATACTTGTTACAAGCATATGTTTGTAACATTAACGTTACTATAATATACACATAACAGACATCATTTATTGCGTCATGCAAGCTTGGTCGGGAAGCGGGTGCGATCGCACTCGATAATTGACCGCGGAAATATTATTTAGTTGCGAAAAACCGGCCAGATTTTTTAGTCGTTTTGAGAACATTTCAAAAACAAACAAAAAAGCGCAATAAGATTAACTGAACCGATGAGACAGTTAAAAAAAGAAAAATTGTTTTTAACACAAAAAAACTTTAAGCAAAATAAATTTATTAGAGCAATTATTTTTGAAACCTAGACCTTTTATAATTTTTTTAATAAAATTAAGCGACATTTTTTATATAAAGTAACAACTATAAAGAAACAAATGTTCTTCGATTTATCAAAGAGTATATATAATTAGTATTTATATACTTATGTCTTATTTCCAGTGCTGGATTGAGGAGGTGGGCTGGGGGTAGTAGGGCTATAGCCCCGGGACTCACAATGTTAGTCAAGAGGAACAATCGGTATTTTTTTAAGTCATTTTTACGCTGTGGCACATAAAAAAGGCTGCCAAAATAATGCAACCCCCGGCCCTGAAAAGTCCAACAAGATTTAACCAGATGATTTATTTATAAATAAATAAGTTTTTTCAATAACTGTTTTATGCTTCGCGTAGTTTAAAAAGTTTAACACATTTGAAACAATTCCTCTTAGTAAGATGAACAAATGAAATAATTAAATCATTGAGTTACTGTAGAAATTCAATTAGCAAGATAGAAATTAACAAAAAACGTTAAATTACTTTGTGAGGAGGAAGCGGAACTGCTTCACAATATCGCTGATGATGCTTAGTGAGTGGACTTTATAATTTTAATTAGTATTTGAAACAGAAAAAAGTAACTTTAAGTATAACGAGTTTGTAAGAATGGCTGAAGCAAAAATAATTGAAGTTAGTAAACCAATTTCTAAGAACTTAAAAACTTTTCTTTCTTGGGAGAAAGAATCAGTTATCTATTATCAGTTATCCAGTACACTGAGGAAAATGGATTAGTGGTTAAATTATTTGTATTAACTTTGACCATTATTAATAATTTCATTGAAAACGCAGTTATTATTAAAAGTATTTTTGTTTACAAAATCAATCGCACAATTTGCTTTAAAAGATTACATTTGAATAAAATACACATACATAAGATAAATACATAGATAAAAATACATTACATACATAAAAATACATTACATACATAAAAAATACATCCCTTATATATAAAAAATGAGAATATACTAATAAAATCTATAACATATTTACAAAATGTCGACAAGTTAAAAAATATAATTTTAACATTTATTATTGCAAACAAATAATTTTAGTTTAAAACATTTATAGCTTTGTAGATGTAGCTCTAAGAATTAAAATAATAGTTCGTTCGATAGTATATTCTTAAAATAATTTATGCTAGAAATCTCAACAAAAACGTAACAAAATTCAAATAGCACAATTTTTCAAAATATTTCAACAGAATACTCAGGACATTTGGTTAGTATTTTTTGAATACTCTAGAAATTTCAGTTAGTATTTTTTGAACCAATAGAATTAGTTGTTCGTAGATTTGGCGGGCTTTTTGTGTTCGCAAACACTCTTTTTTTATTTTTCCATACTAAGATGTTTGAGAATATTCAAGTTTAATTATGTTTCCATGTAAGTCCATAAAACAAAATATTTTAAAATTTACAATAAAATGAACTTATTATTTTGCGAACAAACAAGGAAACATAAATAAACTTAAATGTAAATTTTTTTCCTCAATAAATATTATTTCCGTGGTCAGTTATTGAGTGCAATCACACCCGCTTCTCTACCAAGCCTGGTCATGGAAAAATTCTTTAGACATAAATTTTTTTTCTCTATGAAAACCCTGCCTGTTTATTATCCAATTAACAAAATTTTTTTGACTTTTTTCATTTTTGCTACAATAATAATTATACTTTTGAAAAAAAAAAAAACTTTTGCCAGACCCGTAAATTGCTCCCATAAACCTTTTTAGGAGAGTATGGGTGAGAGCGAGAGCTAAAGCTCTTACTTCCCACTGAGGCCTGTATATATGTATATCAGGCCTTGGCATGAAGGCATGAAGCTGGAGCGATCGCTGCCGTCATATGAAACACGCTCGTTGATGGAATATTTATAAATTGCAGGCGCGATAAAAAACGCTACCTAATTTAGTTACAAGAGTAAAGAATTGCGCTTGTCCTAAAAATTTGTGAGGGAGAAAACTAATAATGGTTTAGTTGATTTTATATTAAATTTTTTTTATAAAAGTTTTTGTTAAAGATTCTTGTTTAATTAAACTAAAAAGTTTGCTTATTGTTAAGCACAAAATAATCTCTATTCAAACATCTTTAATTGCGTTTTTTCAACTGAGGTAAAATGTTAAAGTTATACTTCAATTAAAAAACTCACGTTACGAATGACATAAGTTAATGTTTTTCACGTTAACTTACGTCATTCTGTTGAAATTAGAGCGCAAATTTCTATGAACAATGAAAGGTGATTTGTGAATGAGACTCCTTTATATAAAACGTTTACAGCAAACATTTAACGAAATTAAATAAAATTTTATTTATATAAGTTTATTAATAATATTAAATTGTGTAATAAATACAAATTAATTATAAGAAATGTTAATTTAATTTTGTAAAAGAATTTGCTAAAAACCATATGTATAATAATACAAATTTTTTATGTAATTTCGCAAAAAATATTTCTAAAAAAGTTGTGTTTGAACAGAATAGTTATAATAAATAAATATTTAGTAAGTCGAAAGAATTTTAAACGTTTTGTCAGGCAGTGCGCTGCTAAATAATAATTTTAAAAATATTTATTGTCTAAAGACCGCTGTATAACAAATTAAAAACTAATAAAATTGTGTGGAACACCCATATCCAAAACAAAAAAAAAGATCGCTCTCAATAACTTAATGATCAGCGCGTATAATCGCGCTGCTAAAAAAATATTTGAGCTTTTCAGGCACAAAACATTGCACAGGACAATTTTCTTCATGCCAAGGCCTGATATATATATATATATATATATATATATATATATATATATATATATATATATATATATATATATATATATATATATATATATATATATATATATATTTATATATATATTTATATATATATATATATATATATATATATATATATATATATATATATATATATATATATATATATATATATATATATATATATATATATATATATATATATATATATATATATACAATTATATATATGCATACTTATGTCATTAATGACATAATCATTAATGTCATTAACAACATTATACTCAAATACAATACTAATTGAATTAATTAAATTGAAAACTTTATCTTTACACAAAAATGGAAAATTAAGATGACAAAGTTGAGAACTGAAACTATTTATTTATATAGTTTAAAAATGAAACTCGATGAAATATATTGTTTATCCAACTAAAACTAAATCAAGCTAAAACAGGAGAAACAATTCATACTTAGTTTAAAATATCACTTGGTAGAATTAAATTTTTTTTACATATTTCAAAAGGTTATAATTTTACAAATTTAATTGTTTAAAATCTAATCTATATTTGGCGGACAAATATTTCAAGCACCTTCCTTTACTAAGTCTGCAAAAAACTATTTTTACGTTTTACGCAAAACAATTATTAAAAACTATTATCTAACCCTAAACTTTACCATAAAGTTTATTTTAATGAAAACCATGTCATAACCAAACCGTAAGCCATACCCTTAGAGTTAGGGTTTAGTTCGGGTATGATTTTCAACAATATTGGGACTTACCCCCTATTAAGTAAAAACTATGCTTGACTGCACAACTAATTTTTTAAATTGTAGAAAATTGGTATTTACATTAGATAATAAATACCTAAAATATTTTTTAAGTGATATATATATGCACCAAAGTTAAAATATTTTATTGAAATCCAGCTAAATTTAATTTAAACGCCATAGTGTCAATTATTTAATCGCATATCATGACAGCAAATTTTATCAGGATTTTTAATCAAAAATAAACTTAAATTTGTTTAAGTTAAAATGAGATTTAATATAATATAATATTCTAATAATAATTAGAAAATTTTTTAATTTAACTTTTCCAATAAAACAAAGTAAGAAAATACACTTACTCTTTTTTCGAACTGTTGTCCCAACTCCTTGATTTTCTATTATTAGAGTTATAATCATCTCTGTGGTTATTTGTATCATTATTTAAAAAATCAATATTGTCTCTACTATCCCTATTAGATTTAATTGAATGTCTTTCACTTTTGTTTTTTTTATTGTTTGTATTTATCGATTTATCTTGATTTTTGGAGTGTTTATCATACTTTTGTGTATAGTCATTATCACTTTTGTATTTTGTATCTAACAACTTTTTTTTCTTTTTTGTACAATGATATTCTAGATCTGAATTATCACTTAGATAGTCATCACGTTTATTATTTTTAATTTTGTCCTGTTTTTTTTTGCTACTTTTTTCTTCTTTGTTTTTAGTACTTTTCTTTGAGTTTAATTCATGCTCAATGTATTTCCTTTTAAGTCTTTCTCTTAATTCGTCCTCTTTTTCTTCCTGAGTTATTTTTCGTTTTAAATGTTTTGAGTTATGTTCTGGAGATTTTATGTTTGACTTTTTTTTATGATGGCTATCTTTTTCATTGTCTGACATAACCAAAGTTTTTAATGCAGTTAAATTTAACGTTTGTAGCAATATCACGTTGCAGTAAAAACTAAAGTTTTTTTAATATCTATTTTTTAAAAAAATAATTTAGAGTTTTAAAAAATAAACTATCTATAAGATAGAATATAAGATATATATAATATTATTGATTTTAAAAATGAGAATAAATATTATCAGTATTTAAGACAAGATTGTTTTCTAGCTAAGCATATCGGAGGCTATTAATCGGACCGCCATATTTTTCTAGGAGACTGTGCTAATTTATTTTTTAAAATAATGTTATGCTAATTATTTCTTGCTAAATATTCTTTCACATGGGTTTATTTTAAAAATGTTATATAGCGTCATATTTCACCAATCATATTTCGCCACAAAGAGTCAAGAACGTGATAATAACGATCTTTTAAGATATTTTGTAGAAAATAGTAACTCTTCGGCTAAGGACGAGGTTTTCTATTAAGATGAGTGCGATTACTCTTGTAAACGCTATCGCTTTTTTATTGACATCAGCATTACTTATACAAAAAGCCTCATGTGTCTTAAAAGAGGGAGAATGTGAAGGTATGTAATACTTAACTAATGTATGTTAATTTTACAAGTTTGTTAAAAAAGTAAAAATTAAAGTAGTAAATTCTGTATTATAATTCTATTGTATTTTCAGAATATATATTTTTAAAAGTTCTGCAAAAGCTTAACAAAAAGAAATCTTAGCATATGTTAAATATCTTTTAGCTTTATTTATAAAGCTAAAAGATATTTAACATATACTAAGATTTATTTTTATTAAACTTTCGATTCATAAGGTCTATTGTTAATAGTTTTATTTCTTTTTTATGATTACTTGTAAACACGGAAAAATCTTTATGTTAGAAGTCACTATGGTTTTTTTCTCTTAACGTCTTATAAGGTCTCATGCTATGTTATGTAAATATTGGATATTTACCTTTTAAATTAAAAATGGTTTTGTAGGTGTTTACTTTTTTTTAAAGCATAATTTTTTTAATAGAGAGAGATGTTTGGGGTAATCCTACAGTTACGCGGCCTAAAATAATTATATTTTTGCCAGGGGGTTTCGCTACATCGATATAATAAAAGGAAAAAGATTGCTTCCCCATGTCAAACCCTCAGTCGATGTAGCAGCTCTTCCTTGTAGCAGCAGGCTATGAGATAGTCGATGTAGCAGCACTCTGTTGCGAGTCAGGCTATAAGATAGTCGATGTAGCAAAACCCCCTGGCAAAAATATAATTATTTTAGGCTGCGTAACTAGCTTTACCGATGTTTGTTTAGCAATTATTAGTTGGTGATTTTATTATCCCTTTTTTTTTTTAGATACCATTTCAGATATCACTATTATGTTGTTAGTTTAGACATATTTTTTTAAAATAAACAGCCTTATCCTTTTTTTTTTATACAATTACACCTAACTGGTAAAGTTTGGTGTAATTGTGTAATATGCTGTTGTAACAAATCTGAATATCTTCAGCAATGTACAAGTTTTTATAAACAAGTATATAGTTTATTATTGTACTGTATTATGTATAGTGTATTACACATTGTATAATAGTTGTTTTTATAAGACACTTCCACCTTAGTTATGTTTTAATTTTTTGGTATGACTTTTAGTTATGTAATTACGTAAGGTACAAGTTTATTTCATTATGCATTAAAATACTTTGGTTTTGTGCTTAGCATTTTAACTAGAGCTTGAAGTTATACTTCAAGCATTTAATTTTATTAATTATTTCTGAACCTTTAACATAGATGAATCTGTGTGTGTGCATACATACAGTACATATAAAGCTTTAAATGTTAACCTTTACATTTTGTGATATTTTTTTTCTATAGTTTGTATCAAGTTTTTGACTAACTTCGAGAAAACATTATCAGATGCTGATCGAAAAGATTCAACAGAAAAATTAAAAAAAGCTTGTGCCAAAGCTAAGAATAAAGAAAATAGATTTGTAAGTTTTTTTTTAATGTTTTTTTTTTAATCTTTAAACTAACAAAACTCTTAATTAAACTTTGTTTTATTTTAGTGCTACTTTATTGGTGGTACAAATGATGCTGCTACATTTATATTGAATGAAGTCACAAAGCCACTCGCATACTACAAGCCTATTTCAAGTATATGTGAGGCACTTAAGAAAAAAGACAAGCAGATTTGTGAACTAGCTTACGAAAAAGTTTTTGATTGGAAAAATATTGATCTAAAGAAATTGAAAGTTAAAGATTTAAAGAAAATTTTAGAAGACTGGGGTGAGACTTGTAGTGGTTGTATAGAAAAAACAGACTTTTTGAAAAAGGTAGAAAGTGTTAAGCATAAACATGTAGAATTGTAGAAAATTGTAGTTTCATTCTGAAAAATTATTAAAATACAGCAGTTTCTCTATTTATACAAAAACTTTTTGAGAAAAAGGTTTTCTTCTTTGAATTATTAAAAAAGTATCTTAAAGAAAAAATCTTTTATGAAATTAAATGTTTTATATTTATTTGTTGTATGCATAAGCATATGGTTTTTATATATATATATAGATATATGAAATTTATAAATTTTTGTTCAGTGTCTTTTATAACCTTTCTTGAGGTCAATCCTCTTGGTAAAGAAAGACTTTTTAGCGAAAAGCAGTTGTGGCATGGAACAACCAAGGCGTGTTTGTGAAGCTATCTATTTTTTTTTAATCTAAATTATAATTTAGATTAAAAAAAAAAAATAGAAAAACTCATTAGTGACTAAACATACGTTTTATTTGATAAACATACGTTTTATTCGATAAACATACGTTTTATTCGATAAACATACGTTTTATTCGATAAAATTTGAAGAGTAAAAATCTTTTTTTTTTTTTTTTTTTTCAGTATTTTTGTTTTTTACACTATTTAGTCTCCTAAACAAAAAGCATATAAAAAAATACATAAAAATAAAAAAAATGACTGAAAAATGAGAGCCTCGTTATGAGTAAATTCTAGTCACGTTCATACAATCAGATTGTTGGTCAAAATGAAAAAAACGTATCTTTCATAAATTTCAAAAAACCAAGGCCAATCGATATTTGATTTTTTAACTTCAACAATATTTTCTTCCTATTAGCTATATCGTATTAATAAATAAGATGTTCTCTTGGTAATTGGTCATGATTAAGAGTTTCAAGGTTAGACCTACCCAAACATTTTCAAGATCAAAGACTTAAATTTTTGCCTTACGTTGAAGCCAATTATTAACAAATCTGTAGATAACAATTGCTGTAACAATAAATTCACGTGTAAAAATAAACTAAGGTTATACGCAGAACTCAATAAATTCAATAAGGAAATATACTTGTAGATATATATGAAAGCCGAAAACAAAAATACATAAAAATAAAGAATGAAAACTTTCAATTCTTTAATTTAATGCTTTTTTTTTTTGAAGGCCTTAAGGCAAGGACTAACAATTCTGCCATTAAATCGATTCCATATCGGAGTCAAATATACTCAGAACTGTTAATTGAATCGGATACACCCAATCCGGTTTAAGTTTCGTTATTATAGACTCAATAAGTTTAAAAGTCTGGTGGGTTTTGGGTTTATAATTACAAAACCTAGACCCAGTTTGATGGCTTGGTTTTTTATTCTCAATATTTTTAAACGTGTTTTATCTCATTTAAAATATTTAAGCTAACTCTATTTATACTGTTGCAACAAGAACAATTTAAAACAACATGACTACTTTAATTGTCATTGTTTTTAGTTTACAGCAATAACAAGCATCTTGCGCGAAATTCAGAGTAGTGAATAGATAATAAATACGTTGATACATATTTATATATTTAAAGTCACATACCCATGATGGGTGAAAAAATTTCCTCTATAACCCCTACATTTTAAAAATCCGACAAACAAAAATCTCTTCCATAGATAAAGATATAAGTTTTCGTTGATTAAATGACATAAAAGAAGCAATTCTCGAAAGGACGTAAATTTTTTGATTTGCTGTTTTTGCATAAAGTATTTAAATGCTTATCAAAAGAAAGTTTCTTGTAAAACATAAACTCGCGTATTTTTATATTTTAAGTTTAAACTGTTTTCATATCACTCTTAAAGCATATGTTTTACTTATAATATTACCAGCAAGCACACATACGTTAGGCCAACGTATGTAAAACCATCGCGAACGTCGGCTATTTTTTCCGATGCAAATCCAACGTTGATCCAATGTCATGTTTTTAACAATAATATAGATAAAAGGCTTAACACCGATATAACTACAAACAGTTTGCATAAATACTTTGGGTAAACTTAGGTAAGCACATCGCAAAGTTTGATTGTTTTTACGATCTAAAATCAACGTTGATTTAATGTAAATAACCCAACGTTGATTCAATGTATATGGATTTAGGTTGACCCAGTATATATAACTCAACATTGATTCAATATATATGAATCAACGTTAATGCAATGTATACAACCCAACGTTGCAAGTATAAAATTGTATATCTTAAATAAGTCTTCCGTAATTATATAGGGGAAGTTAGGGCACAATGGATCGGATTTTTTTATTTTTTAAATTAAGCAAAAGTTAAAACATGTATTTTACTTTTTTCAAGACAAAAGGATTGAGATATATGTCCATCATGATAAGAAATCACTAAAGCCTAAATATTTATTATCTAACGGCTCACAGAAAGGTTTAAAGTGAGTTGTGTTACGTAATTCACTGTGCCCCAGTACTGGGGCACTTTGAATCAATGAACACAACTGTGAATTAAAGATAGTGAATAGGGGCGTAGCCAAATAACTTTGAGGCTGATGGAGTAGAGACACACTGTACACTATACTTTTGGCATACTTTTATTAATTTCTTGAGTATAAAATCGAAAAAATAGACATTTTGAAACTTGAGAAGAAAAAAAAAGAATTTTATTGATAAAAAAACTTATAAAAATATTAAAAATTAAAAACATGTTCAAATATTATTTTTATTATATAAAACTTATTCAAAAATTATTCATAACTTGAAACTAATAAATTCATTTTCATGAAGTTTGTTTGTTAAAAATGCACTGATTAATGGAACATAGTGAATAAACCGATTCTCTGTACCCCGATTCACGGTGCCCCACCAAAACAAATTAAGTTTAAGTCTAATTTCTTGGGACATAAGTGTTGTCAAAGGAAAAGCTATTCTACTAAAAAGAAGCATAAATATTAACAATCCGAATGAAAAACTTCAAATTTTAGAATTATTTCAACCATGATCTCCTTAACAAATAAAAGGACGCTCAGAAAATTTATTTTAGTTTGCTAAAAACAAAAATTATCTACCAAAAACCGATAGTCAATAATGTGGAAACAACTATAAATAAGATGGCTAATATATGAGCACATAAAATGACTACATTATCAAGATAAACAAAACTTTTATAAATAAGAAAATGCCTCTTATTCACTGTGCTCCTCGACCCACTGTATCCCGACTTCCCCTATATGTAAAATTAAAAAAAAAATAACATTATCTTATTAACATTAAATGCAACGTTGAGCCAACGTAAAATACAATGCTGTGCCATCTGAAAAATACAACGTTGAATCAACGTAAATTATTACACTTTGCCAAACATAAAATACAACATTGTGCCAACGTTAGACTTTCGTTGTTGGTGACGTCGCATTTGTAACCAAAATGATATTTCATCCAAATTCTATATTTGTTTTTCCAATATCTATTTAATAGATATTTAATAGATTATTAATACAAACATGAACATGAAAAAAGGTGTGTTTTACAATGCATTACGTTCACGTTTCAATCCCAAAAGTAATGTTATTGAGGTTGATTTAAACAATTCTTGTTTAAAAGTTTTTAAGTCAAATTTTGGTTTTAGATATCCAAAAAGTGAGACTTAGATTGTGTACTTTTCAGCTTTACCAGTATAATTATCCAAAATATACAGTTTGTGACTGTTTTAAACATAGCGTTACTTCTCCATAAATTGAACATCTTATTAATGAGCTTGATAATAGGTTTCCAAAAAATGGTCTAGCAGCAGTTCCTTCAACTGTACTGTCCAGAATACAAGTTAAGAAACCATGGAAATCTAATTTTTATGAATTTTTAAATTTCTATTTATCTGAATATGCCTCATTTTACTTTAATACATGCTGAGTTAGACTTATAAGAATTATTTTTGAAAAACCAGTCAAATATTCCTTTAACTGTTGCTAGTATTTTAAAGGCCATTGACATGAGAAGTTTTACAAATATAATAAAAACATTTATTTATATATTAGGAACAATTCCACTAACAACTTGTGAATGTGAAAGAAGTATTTCAGTTATATATATAACTGAATACAGTTATATATATATATATATATATATATATATATATATATATATATATATATATATATATATATATATATATATATATATATATATATATATATATATATATATATACATATATATAAATAAAGTGGAAGAGAGAGAGACTTTTAGCCTATATTTGTTTTATATTAATTGAACTTCAATAAAAGAATTTAACAAAAATTATTAAATAAATTAAAAAAAAAAATTATATCAAGAAAAGAAAAGAATCCAAGAATTGAGGATTAACCTTGAATAAGATTACTAATACTTTACATAAACTGCTATCAAGAAAAGGATAGAATCTAGAAATGGGGGGCTAACCTTTATAATTATAGTATTAATTAATTAACTTAATAGTTCTTTACATTAATAAATAACCTAATATTACTTTACATTACGTGCCGATCAAGAAAAGGTAAGAATCCACAAATGGAGGGCTAACCTTAGACAAAATGATAGTACACAGATAAAGTCCTATCGCTTACTTTTTCGTTGGTGTACTTTGTTAAGTACATACATACATATTCATTAGTGTACTTTGTTAAGTACATACATACATACATACATACATACATACATACATACATACATACATACATACATACATACATACATACATACATACATACATACATACATACATACATACATACATACATACATACATATATGTACGTATGTATATATAAGGAAAATGTTCGAGATGAGATGCGGCTTTTTATTAAGAAAAGAGCGTTTTTCTAAAGTTATTCTCAACGGAGCTTTAATTTTGTATTTCAAGAGGGACTGTTTTTTAAAAAAATAGTACCGCAAACGTTTTTAGATATAGGAAAGATTTATTATTGTTTTTTTTTTTTATGGTTGAGATAATTACTTTTTACTTAAGTATAGTCCTTAAAGATACAATTTTATTTAATTTTTTTGTGTGATAATTTTTTTTTTTATTTTGAGTTTTTTTGAGTTCCATTAAAAAAAGCTTATCTGAGGAAACTATATATAAGCGTTACGTCAGCGTTACACCATCAGGGAAT